TGAAGTAAAACATTGTGATGTAGATGTAGTAAAACATTGTAGCTGTCTTCATTTTTCAAAATTAATTGAAATCAAAATGGCACAATTGTACACAGTCGATGCTCAAACCTTGATTACTTTCTTAGAAGACCATCACCTTGAACGTAGTTCAGGATAATATATATGACACATACAAACTAGATCAGCATACTTATCAATGTTAAGCATTTAAATTAAAGCATGTCAATAAAATTATATTTAAGACAATATTAACTTAATATAATAATATTACAGAACAAAATATGACAGTTTTGCAACAAATTTCTAAAAATGTTCCATTTCAAAATGTGAAACATGACAATCATATTATCTCTAAATTATAGCATTTACTGCATTTCAAAAACTATGCAATAATGGAAGTCAGCATCATTTAGAACATTCTAAAATCATAACAGTAGTACATTAAAAGCTCTTATATTCAACAGGGAAAGGTGTAATTATGACAAAAAACAGAAGCTGCATGCAATTCTAAATGCCTGCATTGCAAATGTAAACATGGCATAAAACTATACAAATAACTGGAACTAAATTACATATTTACTCTACAGAAATTGAAGAAAAAAACATTAAGAATTGAAACTTTAGATTTAATGGTATATGGATTTGAAAGGTTACCTCATTGAACTTACTTATTGATGAAAATGAAATATCCTTTACTCATTTTTAAGAACAATGGAGCCGGGGTTATAAAAATATATTGTTTAGAAAAGAGAGAAGTAAATAAAATAAGCTCTGAGTATAACAAATGATATCAGGGTAAGAGAAATGATGTCATGATGGGTAAGAGAAATGATGTCATGATGGGTAAGAGATAAAATGTCATGATGGGTAAGAGAAATGATGTCATGATGGGTAAGAGAAATGATGCAATGAGGGTAAGAGAAATGATGCAATAATGGGTAAGAGATAAAATGTCATGATGGGTAAGAGATAAAATGTCATGATGGGTAAGAGATAAAATGTCATGATGGGTAAGAGATAAAATGTCATGATGGGTAAGAGAAATTATGTCATGATGGCGGACGGGTAAGAGAAATAATGCCATGAGGGTAAGAGAAATGATGCCATGAGGGTAAAAGAAATGATGAAATGATGAGTAAGAGAAACGATGCCATGAGGGTTAATGATGTCATGATGTGAAATGATTTCATGATGGGTAGGAGAAATGATGTCATGATGGGTAAGAGAAATGATGCAATGAGGGTAAGAGAAATGATGCAATGAGGGTAAGAGATGTGATGTCATGAGGGTAATAGAAATGATGTCTTGATGGGTAAGAGAAAAGATGTTAGGATGGGTAAGAAAAATGATGCCATTATTAGTAAGAAAAATCATTTTTATAATGGGTAAGAAATGGTCGGTAAGTGTTGATGTATAAAAGGTACAACAATATTATTTTGATGTAATTTTGTCTGGAGTGATCAAACAAACATTATCAACCTAATAACTGGACTAAACAAGAAAGAACTTTTATTAAAATAACTTTACAACTAATGAAAGTCCCATTCATATAAAAAATGCATCATCATCAACTCCAGAAGAAAAAGGAGAAAACCTAATATTTTTGCCTTCACTTAAAGTTCTGCTTGCTGGAATTACAAGTTATTCATACAAATGTTAAAGGAATTGGCAGAAACTGTCACCAACATTCCACAAATGTGTGTTTCCAATTTTTTTCATCATCAAGATTTTAAATTTACACACACAACAAAAAGAAATCAACAAATCTGGGAAAATCTGCAATACATCAAACTTGGAAACTGTGTAAAACACTTTTAAGCTTGTATGATCAAAGAATAGGGAGAGCTATTGAGTCTTTCTTTGGTTACATTTTTGTATTTCCAAAACTGCTGAAAGACCATGAAACATGGAAGACAAAGGTCACCTAACTCTAGACTACCTTTTAACAGAGTTATGCCCCTTTTTGACTGCCAACACTGAGAATAGTTGAGCTGGCTGTCTTAATGACAGCTCTTTATATGTAAAAAAATTACATCAAAAATTAATTAAATGTGGGAAATATTTTCCTGTTGAATATAATCCTGTAACAAATATATTCATAGTCATAATTGATTTAGTCCAGAATTTATACTTGCACATATCCTAAAATAAATGTTTAAAAAATATATTAAAGGTTGAATATGAGCTGATTCATTAAGTTAAGACTATGTTGTTTACCAAGTTCATTAAGTTAACAAAGATCTTGTTGTTTACCAAGTTCATTAAGTTAACAAAGATCATGTTGTTTACCAAGTTCATTTAGTAACAAAGATCTTGTTGAGCTACCACAACTTATCTGTACTGCTTGCAAAGGCTGATATAACACAATGAGTCAACACAAAATGTGATATTTTCAAGAGTTGCATAACCTAGGGTAAAAATATAAGAGCTGTTGTTCATGAAAGCAATATAATAAAATCTTACATAAAAAGTAATAACAGGTATTATGGAACACCCTGCACAAAACAAACAAATTTCCATTTGTTTCATACTTTAAGTCATTTGTACAAATTTTGCAAAATAATGATATGAGCTCTCATTCATGATGTCACCAAATCAAGACGTCATATTGTTCTTGTTGAAAAATAATTCTGTCAAATTTCTTTTGTTAAAATTTTTAACATGATCAGTGTAAATTTAATGTACTTCTTGTAATTAAGCACATTTTACTCAAGACAGAATGTCTTTCCGAAAATATTTCCACTAAAGATTTTTCTTCTAAATTCAAATGTAGTTCAGCCACTGTGAAATTATAAAAACATAATTTCATTGTATTCTGAAAAGCATGTAATAAAAAGCTCTAGCAGATTTATTTTTAACAATAAAGCTTACTAACAGAAAGACTAGATTGTATTTTTAGTGGACCAACTGGATGGGAAATTTTCATCAAAAACCTTAAGATCTGATCATACTTAGATACAAAGGCCGAGATAATTGTCTTTCTTTAAATTTTTATCAACGATTTCACTGTCCTCTTTAACACTTTAAAACATAGTAATGCATCAAAATTTGTCATACACTTGGGAACACCAGCAGGTTTTTATCCACAATTTTTTACATTCATTATTAGAAAATTGACTGGAAATACTATATCCAATCCTTAAATAATTAAAAATGATCTATTAGGCCACTATTACAAACACTCCTTTCTCTCTAATAATTCCTTTTTTCTATCATTTTATTCTTGCATCACCATGGGGCATTTATAAGATAATTAGGGTAGAGAGGCACTTATTTGCTTCTGAATGTTTATTTGCTTTTATTATTTGTTCTTTTTTTTTCTTTTTTTGTTATTCATTTTATTTATCTTAATCTTCCCCCATTGCAAAAGGCAATGCCATGGGGCATTTAATAGGTCATTGTGGTGGATAAGGGGGTGCATTTATTGGATTGCTTACATTAGTTGTGTTTTTTTTCATCATGAATGTAAATGAGCCTCCATTCTCCTGGATCCATTGTCCTACTAGCATCAGTGGAAGCATCTGTTAATTTCTCAATATTAAATATCCGCATATATTGTAAAGACTAATGGATGATATGTAAATTAGGGCCTAACGTAATCAATAATTTAAACGCTCATAAACACCTCATAATTGCAGTATCATTTATTGATATCCGAATCCATTATCTAAATACATATGGCAAAGTTTGTGATACACTCCCATGGGAAATGCATAATATTTACAGCACTATGTTTTTTTCTTTATTTAATCAGAGACAAAAGTGGCAGATAAAAATAATTGATAGTGAGTGGTCTATGAGAGTTTTAAATGAGTAAAATTGATTTAAATACAGAAGTTTTCAAGTTATATCATTTCAAAATTTTTAATTTTTCTCATTTGTTTGGTATAAGGCAAGACTAGCTAACATAATAACACTGAGTCAGCTATAATACAATAATAATCATTTTGCTTTAAGCATTATCTTAATGAGGAGATAACTTTTAACTTACTGTATCTACATCTAAACTAAAGGAGCTAGGTTTGAGCCCTGGTGGTCACGTAGGAATTATAACTTCATTATATATGTCATTGTTATTCTAGAAAAAATGTACTTTCCTTACATTACAATGTTATCCTGACTCCAGATTTTGTACAGTTGTATCTACATGTGCGAGACAGGAGAAACAAATTTACCTTCCTGTAAAAAGTCTGAACATATATACAAGTATATATATTCATAAAAGCTCAAAATATTTTCTAAACAATAAAACTTATACAGTACTGATTTGAACGACTACAAATGTCATTTTAATGTGCTTAGGATATATTTAATTAACAAAAGCATATAGAATATACTTCACTACAATACAGTACATAAATTTCATCAATACCAACATTTTCACGACAGTCAATTTAAAAGAAAATTTTCTGTTAAACATTTCTATGTATAAAATTCTACAATAGCCTATGTTTTAAAATAGAATTAACTCAAGGAAAAAGTATTTCTGAGATTTGACTTAATTTCAGTCGTAATATCATTTATACATGATGTGGTTTATTTCCACTTATTGAATGTAGATAATATTCGTACCTTCTATTCTGAGTAACTTAATGTTCGGCAAAGGAATGCGTTATTAGGCTCAAATTCTATAAAACCATTAGTAACGCCTAAGCCTCACATTCTATTGGGAGTTATTAAATGCACCGTGCACTTTAATGCCTCATCTCAAGAAGATTTTTTGTTTTTGTTAAAGAATTATGTTTTATGTTTCAAGTAAAAAAAGAAATTCATGAAAATTTATGTTACTAAAAAAAGGGGAAAAAAAGAAAGGTTTGTTTTGCTATGAATTTCTCAAATGATGCTTGGCTTTAGAAAATCTATTTTAGGTTTAACACGGAAATAGAATTTATATTGACAGAAGATTAAAATCATTATTGTAATGTTACGTAAGTTTTGTACATAATAAAAATAAAATAATCTTTGTCATTGGAAACCCTGTACTAATATTATATACATACCCTAGCATCTTTCTTGAATCTTTCAACATTTTTGATATTTGTGACCTCATCAAATCCAAGCAACATTATCATGGCATCAAACACGTACAGTAAGACATTAGCAAGGTGACAGTCGTCTGCATTATCATCCTCCGCGATTACTACCAACGTTAAACTACAATCATAATTATGTTGACCAAATGAAAATATGACATATTTTCTTATCAATTTATTAATATTCACACTTTTTGTTAACATCATTTTCATTTTCAACACAAGATTTTCTTTACATTTCACAAAATCATTTAATGTGGTAACTGTGTAGTGGCAAAAAATAAAAAATTGAAAATTGACATATTAAGGATTCTAATTTGAACAACAAACATTTTACAAAGACCTTAAACTGCTGCATCTTTAATGTAGAAATGCTCGACTTTGGCACTTTATCTAATATAGTTTAAAGGTGTACATACAAAGGAAATTAACACAGCATCAATGAATTTGTCTCAACTTTGCATGATAATGAAAAACATTTTAAGCAAAAACAAAAGCTGTCTGTAAGACAGCAGGGTCGACTATTCTCAGTAAGAAAAGGGGTATAACTCTGTAAAAAACTTAACCCAGAGTTATGGGGCTTGTGCCCATCATATAAGATAGTCACAGAGAAAAAGTGTGTGACATTTCATACCATTCCCTTAAGTGGTTTGGTAGGTACCAACTTACACAGTTAACATTTTACCAAAGTGTTGCGGTAATGCAGACACAGACACTGATGCAGGGGTGAGTACAACACTAATTAATTTGAGCTTGACAGAAAAATGATCTGAATATGAACAAGAGCTGTCGGTAGGACAGCAACGCTCGACTATTCTTAGTGCTTGATAGTAAATAAAAATGCTTGATACAGTTACCTCCTCCTCTTTACAGGTTGGGGTAATGATGGTGAACAAGTGTGCAAAGTTTCAAAACCATTTGTCAATGAACTTTGAAAATATTTGAGGTATTACAAATACTTTAAAATAAATTCTAAGTCGAAAAAGGGGCATAATTCTGTCAAAATGCTTGATAGAGTTACCTCCTCCTGTCAACAGGTTGGGGTCATGATGGTGAACAAGTGTGCAAAGTTTCAAAGCCATATGTCAATGGACTTTGAAAATATTTGAACTATTACAAAAACTTTAACGTAAATTCTAAGTCGAAAAATGGGCATAATTCTGTCAAAATGCTTGATAGAGTTACCTCCTCCTGTCTACAGGTTGGGGTCATGATGGTGAACAAGTGTGCAAAGTTTCAAAGCCATATGTCAATGGACTTTGAAAATATTTGAACTATTACAAAAACTTTAACATAAGTGGTTACGCCGACGCAGACGCCGACGCTCGGGTGACTGCAATAGCTCTACTTATTCTTATCGAATAGTCAAGCTAAAAAATGTTGTTATTTTCTGACTGTCCCCATAGGATAGGTCCTTTACCATAGGATTAAAGATCCTGAAGTCCAAGTTTCTGCTTTTCCCCTGTTGGTGCAGTGGTTACAAATACAACTGAATGGTGCAAAAATTTTCTTCAGTGACATTGTTTGGCTTTGTCAATACACTGAATATTTTTTTGTTTATTTCAGATTTTCAAAGAAATATATTAAAACTAGGCAAACATCAGTATAGTGTCTGACCAGTGACATATGCTCAATATTAGGATAAAATACCTGTCATTGAAAGATTTCCAGACAATTTTTGAATCATCAGTTACTGTTGACAGCAGCTCCACATCATGTGACTTTGCAAACATATGTACTCCATTCAATGAACCTATTACAGGAAATGGCAACTGAAATAAAGATCGAATATAAGATATTCTTACACAAACTTATCCCTTAACTTGCTCAAACAGAAAATCATAAGACTTTGCCTCCAGTATACCAGGCCAGGGTGCACAGCTGTTCAGTCTAAGCAGGCTATTTACTATTGGAAGATAAATTTTTGTATTTTGAAATTGAAATCCTTTGAATGGACTGCTAAAAAATTCAAAAGCTGGGTCAATCTATTACACAACTTAAGCAGGTTAACGGTAAACTAAGGGAAACTACTGTGTTCATGTCTTTTTTTTATAGAGAATTAAAAGACCTGAGATTTCATAATGAACTGCAAGCTTGATACACACATTTTGCAAAAGCCATCAAGCAATAACTTTTCTTTTGTCATCAATCATAAGTAATTAAGATTTATCCTGATTACGAGGCAATAACTCTTTTCAATAATTACAAAATTTACAACCAGCCATTAAAACTTTCACTCAAAAAAAAAAAAAGATGAGGAAAAATAAACCTGACACAATAAAGTCTCACTGCTCGATGGATAATCCAGTGACTTGAAAAAAAAATGACCGTTATAATTCCATAACCACTCATGATATTGGCAAGTGCAAAATATTGATCATGATTTCCAAGTTATTAAACTTGTAATAATTGCAGCAAAGTAGAAAATAATTTGATAATAAATCAGTGAAAAAAATGTTCATTGCTGATAAATTACCCACAAGCTCACACTTTCGGAAAACTTACATTTTTTCTTCCCAATTTTCACTCAATCTATGGTTGAGGTATCTAAAGACATAATTCAGCAAGTTAATGTAGCCAAACCAGGATGTAAAATATAAAACATGATAAAAGATGCTTTCCATATACATAAAATGTATTATCTCCCCTGGTTGAATTTGGAGGATCATTCCTACATTGTGACGAAAACATTATATGCATGTTCAATATTGAGCTACTCAGTTCTGTATATTAAATTTAGTTTGAATCAGCACCAAAAGAAGTTTTAGAAATAAAAAGCCAATCAAAATTATGTATTCATTTAGTGTAGCAGAATAAATATGGCTGGTTCTGTGGTTTGGTTCTGTCCGTGAGGAAGATCAGAGCAGAATTATATAGAAATCTCAAACATCTTGTATTAAAAACATTTTTGCTGTTTCTTTGCGAAATAATTTATAAACGCTTTGGTGATATTAACATTTTCAGAAAGAACAAATTTAAAATTAAATGAAGAAGCTATAAAGCTTGACAAATGAGTTTTGTACTATCTTCTTCAAATATGTAAGCTAGGTAGGGGTGTGGATCGTCGGATAAGTGACGATCCGATCCGAACCACGATTCAGCACTTACGATTCACAAATCGTACCACAAATCTTTTGTTATCAAGACACCCATAAAATATGTACATTAGTTATAAAAACATGTTTATTTAAAAAAAAAACAATACTAAACATTAAACATAAAATATAAACAAGGTTTATGTTTTTATTCTTTGGATGAGTATTTTTGTTTTGTTTTTTTGAAACCAATTACTTCCTAGCTCAGCATCATGGTACATTAACCAGCAAATTGTATTTAGGTAAACTTCATATAATTTATACTCAAATCGTATTTTTCTCGATTTTAAGTGTGTGAGAAACAGTGAATGTATAAAAAAAATTAGATCGCGATCCACGATCTCTGGGCTTACGAATATTCAAACTTGATTTTTCACTTTGATTCGTGATTATTCGAGTACTCGGATACTCGCCCCAGCCCTAAAGCTAGGTATAATTATGATAAATAAGGACAGGAAAATGCAGTCTCAACCAACAATACTATTATATTATAGACAATACACTATTACAAACAAGTTATACTGATATAAAAGGCACTCCGATTGAGGTATTACCCATGGATTTGACTGCAGGAGGATTTCACAAATCTGTACTTGGGCAGTCAAATCAGTTGTATATCCTCATATACCAGAGACAACAGTCCAAATTCACCAGTGGGTGTTTAACTCATAGTTCATCTCTCCCAACAGCCCTGGCTTGAAATGGTGTACCACTTCGTACACATGAAATGAGTACCTAAGAACCAACTCTATAAAAAGCTCCCATGAGAAAAATTTCCGTCCAAGCTTTTTCTTTCCACTGTAAGGATCAATCACTTAAAGACTTAAAACCTCATGACAGCCTTCGTCATTATATACAGGAGGTGACTAGCCATACAAACCTGCATGGCTTACAACCAGTTCTAGCCTAAAATAAAATACCTAAATATAGCCATAGCAGACTTTTTAAAATATTTATTATTTATTTTCCTATGTACCGTATAAGTGGTTTTTTCTGCAGTGACTTTATTTCTGCGTTTTCTGCGATCAGTTTTCGGAACCACAGAATATTTCTCTTACCTGCTACAATATGTATCCTACATTGTGACCTGTTTTGTCTAAAGTATAACAAGTAACAGATACATGTAATAACGGTTAGCAGGTTTTCGAGTTGTATAAAATTGCTGTCCCCTATGTATGTAAATCTGTGTTTGTAAGGATGTACGTATTGTTAATTGTGCTAATTTAAGAATAAAGATATTTCAAACCATTCCAACCCTTATACTGCTAAATAATCGTTGTATACTTTAATTGTCATCTGATTTACGGTAAACTTCTATCAATTTTATTAAATTAAAGATACTACCGGGGTATATTTTTCACATGTCACTTCACGCTGATCAAAGATGTATACCTTTCTATTGTTGCGCATTATATGTGTTTGCAAGCAAACAATATAATTGTATGTAATTACTATACAGTTTTGCGGTGACGACGATAAACAAATGCGAACGTGTACATGCAAATATAATAGATAGGGTAATGTGACTTAGACTTTGATAAGACGAGTCGCAGAATTTAAATCACATTTTGTCCAAAGAATGTGTCACAGAAATAAAGTCAGCAAAAATAAAAACATGCCAAAATTTGGAAAAACCGCAGAATTTGGAGCTCGTAGAAAAAACCACTTACACGGTAACATGTTTGTTAACTTGTTTTGTCACTAATTCCTTGTTAAAAATAATAAAAAAGCATCTCAAATCCTTAATTATTGAACTTGTCTCAGACTGCTTAAGTCAGGGTCTGCTGTTTAATAAATAGTAGATATTTGTTTGTTTTGCATGTAAGATTGAAATATATTTCACTGAGAGAACATCAGATGCAATATTTTCTTTTTTTAACTGATATAGCCGTGTAAGGTCCCACATTCTCCTTTTTGATGCCATCACCTCATGACGTCACATCATGATGTCACATTATCAATTTTGAAATATAGTTCTGTTAAATTTTCTCAAATTATGTTACATTTTTAACATGATGTATGCTAACATCGACTTTCTTTTCCCAAAGAAGCAAAATTTATGTATGACTGCATTTATTTCTGCCTGTTATTCTATTTAGTTATGATATTCTTTTCATTAGCATTCAGACATAGTCTGGCTACAGTGAAATTATATATTATAAATTTCACTAGTGGTTTATCAGAATATAAACATCTGATATATTACAGTAAAACACTGGAAAGCATGAAATAAAGGTGGTTTATCAGTTTGCACACCTTTATATAAGCACACTGACACTCTTATTAGCTAATGATAGTCTACAGAAACACATATGGATTGATACCAACCTGCTGAATAGCATGGGTAATAAGGGTTTCCAGTGAAGTTGTTTCTCTTTATTCTATTTACTGTAAACCTGAACATGAGCCACAGCTGGGCGGGGCAATGCTTGACTTTTTTACTTTTTTTAAAAGCAAACAAATAAACGATTTAAACAAATCTTTTAACAAAATTAAAGAAAAGAAATTAAGTTTTCCCTTTTTTTAAATTCTAATAGGTCTGTCTAGTCACACTTTTTGTTTTGTTCATCCAAGTTTTTATCTTTTCTATAAATAAATGACAAAGTTAAGAAAATATAATCACAATTCAATCATTTGACAGTCAAGATCATTTAAAGGTCAAGGTCATATCTAAATTATTCAACATGTATGTTGGGTCATAAGTGTTGTTTTGCCCACATATGAAGCAAATCCGTATATAAATAGATCTAACAAAATCTTAACCAAAATTCAATACTTTGACCTTGATGGTCAAAGTGATTTAAATGTCAAGTTCATTTAAACTTTTTAGAATGTCTTGTCTAAAAGGTTATTTTGTACAAGTATGAAAATAATCCATCAATTAATTACAAAGTTATAGCCAACTTAAGTATAACTATAATCAGTGAAAATAAAACAATTTGAACTTCAAGGTCAAGGTCATTTAAAAGTCCAGTCAAACTTTTCAAAGGTCTTGTCCAAAATGCTGTTTTTGTCAAAGTATGAAGATAATCCAGTAATTAATTACCAAGTTACAGTCAATTATAGCAAAAATCAGTGAAAATTCAATAATATAAACTTCAAGGTCAAGGTCATAACAGAGCCAAGATAAATTTGGGTTTATTGTTCATGAAGATCTTATCTTAAAAAATGTTCTCCTATAATATGACGTCAATCCATTCAATAATAACAAAGTTATAGCCAGTTACAGCAAAAAAAAGAAAATATCATTAATTTGACCTTCATGGTCAAATGTCATTTGTGAGTGAAGGTCTGTCTAGTAAACTTGAAGGTCTATCCTGAAAGATTATTATGTTCAAGTTTGAAGACAATCCATTCAAAAATAACAAAGTTATAGCCACTAATAAAAAACAAGATTGCATTTGAGAAAAATGCTATGCCACCGCAATGTTCAAATTTCATAGCTGTACATCAAAGGACAAGAAAGTAGGTTACATCATCAAAATCTAGGTCACCTGATATCAAAGTTCAATTTTACAACTAAAACTGTGCACATGGTCAAAATGTCATTGCCGTACATTAAAGGACAAGAAAGTAGGTCACTGTCCCCTTGGGCAAGGCATAATTTTGACCCAAGGGTTTAATTCAAAACAATCTTGATACAGGTCCACCAAACAACATTTCAAGTCAAATATCTAAGCTATGGCTTTCTCCCATTCAGAAAACATTTGTTTTATTTTCTGTTTTTACTATGTGTACATAATGAGAATCACTGCCCCCGGGCAGGGCCAATTTTGACACCAGGGGAAAAATTTTAACAACTTTGGTACAGGACCTATAAATGATATTATATATCAAACATCAAAGCTCTATGCCTTGTACCTTCAGACAAAAATATTTTTTATTTTTTCACTATATGTACATAATGATCATCAATGACCCCCGGGGCAGAACCAATTTTGACCCCAGGGCTATAATTTTAACAATCTTGCAAGAGGTTCACTACACAATGTTTCATGCAAAATATCTTAACTCTAGCCTTTGTAAATTTAGAGAAGATGATTTTTTAAGTTTTTACTATATACATATAAGGAAAACATATGGCCCCCGGGGCGGGGCTAATTTTGACACAAGAGGCTAAATTTGAATAACTTTTGTAGAGTACCTTAAGATGATATTATTTAACAAATATTAAAGCTCTACGCCTTGTACCTTCAGACAATAAGATTCTTTGATTTTTTACTATATGTATATATTGAAATCAATGACCCCAGGGCAGGGGGCAATTTTGACCCCAGGGCTATAATTTGAACAATCTTGCTAGAGGTTTACTACACAATGTTTCATGCAAAATATCTAACCTCTAGCATTTGTCAATTGCTAGAAGAATTTATTTTGAAGTTTTTACTATATACATATAATATAGCATAATGGAAAACCAATGACCACCGGGGCGGGGCCGATTTTGACCCCAGGGCTATAATTTGAACAATCTGGGTAGAGGTCTACCAGACAATGCCTTATGCAAAATATCTAAGCTCTAGGCCTTTTGGGTCTTTACAAGAAGGTGTTTTAAGTTTTTTCTATAAGTACATATAGTGAAAATCAATGACCCCGGGGCGGGGCCGATTTTGACCCAAGGGCTATTATTTGAACAATCTTGGTAAGGGTCTACCAGACGATGCCTTATGCAAAATATCTAAGCTCTAGGCCTTTTGGGTCTGTACAAGAAGGTATTTTAAGTTTTTACTATATGTACATAGTGAAAATCAATGACCCCCGGGGCGGGGCCAATTTTGACCCCAGGGCTATAATTTGAACAATCTTGTTAGAGGTCTACCAGACAATGCCTTATGCAAAATATCTAAGCTCTAGGCCTTTTGGGTCTTTACAAGAAGATTTTTTAAATTTATTCTTATAATTCCTTTTGGTTGCCATGGCAACCAGATTTCTGCATGGAATTAAATTCTTTGAACAACTTTGGAAGCCCTTCACCCAAGGAACAATCCTGCCAAGTTTGGTTGAAATTGGACCAGTGGTTTTTCACAAGAAGATTTTTTAAGTTCACTATATAATCTATATAACACACACACAAACACACACACAAACACACACACACACACACAGGTGAATCGCTATATGCCACCGCATCGCAGATGCTGCGGTGGCATAAAAATCAGCAAAATAAACAAGCAAAATTTAGACATTTATCCTTGAAGGTCAAGGTCATTTATGAATGAAGGTTAAGGTTAGGCTGGTCTACTTAACCCTTTACCACATATATACGCGAAACAACACACTTTCGACCCCCCCCCCTTTTTGGGGCCTCAAATAGTGAAAAAATGTCCTATTTGGGCCCTAAACATAAGTTTTCGTTTGAGAAATGTTGCTAAAAAAATTGAGCATTTTTTCGGCGCCGCCCCCCATTCAAAAGATACATCAGGGGGTTGCCAGAAGGGGGATGTGCCCCCTTCTCTTAGGGGGGTTTGAAGGGGGGCGGAGTCCCCCTCATCGCCAAGAAAATTTTGGGCTTGTGAGAGGCTAAAAATGACCCCAGGTCGACCATAATGTAACGTTTAACCAACGCTGAAAAGCCTTTGACTCTATCTCAATCCCTTGAGAAGTTGCAGCACTTTGAAATAAATTTTGATGGAAAAAATCGAGGCAAAATAGTGATTTTTGGCAATTTTGAGATGTCCCCTCGTTGCCATGGTAACAGGAAATTTAAGACTGAGCATGTCGTTACAAAGGCAATGGTCCAGTCAACATTTGTGCCAAGTTTGATTAGTATTGAAGCATTTTTCAGAGTTTCATAGCAGTTTGAACTTGTAACAGGAGGCTTTTCAGTGAAAACGGCCATTTTTCACAATATGCTCATGGGGGAAAGGGTTAATTAAAAAAAATATAAATGTTACAAAACAACAATTTTTCACCAAAATTAGGTGAAAGACCACATGTTAACATGGCAAAAGTAGTTTTTAGGTGATTCCAAAGTTTTTCATCATTTTTTGTTAACCCTTTACCACATATATACGCGAAACAACGCACTTTCGACCCCCCCCCCCTTTTTGGGGCCTCAAATAGTGAAAAAATGTCCTATTTGGGCCCTAAACATAAGTTTTCGTTTGAGAAATGTTGCTAAAAAAATTGAGCACTTTTTCGGCGCCGCCCCCCATCCAAAAGATACATCAGGGGGTTGCCAGAAGGGGGATGTGCCCCCTTCTGTTAGGGGGGTTTGAAGGGGGGCGGAGTCCCCCTCATCGCCAAGAAAATTTTGGACTTGTGAGAGGCTAAAAATGACCCCAGGTCGACCATAATGTAACGTTTAACCAACGCTGAAAAGCCTTTGACTCTATCTCAATCCCTTGAGAAGTTGCAGCACTTTGAAATAAATTTTGATGGAAAAAATCGAGGCAAAATAGTGATTTTTGGCAATTTTGAGATGTCCCCTCGTTGCCATGGTAACAGGAAATTTAAGACTGAGCATGTCGTTACAAAGGCAATGGTCCAGTCAACATTTGTGCCAAGTTTGATTAGTATTGAAGCATTTTTCAGAGTTTCATAGCAGTTTGAACTTGTAACAGGAGGCTTTTCAGTGAAAACGGCCATTTTTCACAATATGCTCATGGGGGAAAGGGTTAAAGGTCTTGTCCTAAGGGTTATTGTGGCCAAGTATGAAGACAATACACCAAGTACTTCATTATCAAGGTACACGTTTGCGGATCGCAGCGGCAACATCGACATGACTGTACATGTACATAACAATAACTCTATTTTTATTGTTATAAAAGTCAAGCTTAAAATCATTAGGTACTGACTGGGGTTTGTTCCTCAGATCTTTCAATTACTAGGTGGACATATATGAAAGGAATAAAGTTGGAAAAATTAAATAAACAAAATAAGGCACAGTTTTCTTCTATGGTTGACTCTATATATTTGGTAACATTTTGCAGTATCAGCCTTGCAATTTTCGTTTTTGACTTTTTAATTCGAGGTCTGTTTTATACCAAAGTATAGTTTGCATCTGTTGTCGTGTTGATCGAGTGTTCGTTCTATCACACCTGACTTTAAGTTCGTAAAGCCTCTCAATGGTTTGATAGGACTATTTTAACGAGTTAAAACAACAAAGGCACCGGTAACAAAGGTAGTTTCTAATTCCTACACATTACACTAGAAATAAAGTTAAAAACGTACAGGTTTCAAACCATTTTTATTCCGAGCAAACACTGGGACTCCTCCACTAGCTGTCAAACAAAATATATATGCAACCATCGCCACAGAAAAACCGAGTTTCTTTCTGTCTCTGTTTATGGTTTGTTTGATTACATTTTTTCTTTGAAGAATAAAAGCTTACAAGGAGATAATATTCAATGATACACTTCCCTTTTATACAATACCATCCTCACAATTTCTTAATTTTGTGCAAATCAATACCCTTCAAACGTTTTAATTGGCTGAAACAACGGTAGGACTCTTTCAAACAAATTACGAATGTTTAATTCATTAGGTTGATTCGGGTAAAAAGTGAATCAAACACAGTTATATACATGAGTAGCGTCTGCATGTGCGATTTTATGAAAATAAAGAAAATGTGATTTTTTTCAAATGTGAAAAAAATGAAATGAAATTTCGATAATTTAAGGCAACTGTTGTGCAGGTCATATCTTCTGCGATTGACTTGCATTCATTATGACGTAGTGCTTGCGCCATTGACGTGACTTAGCTTGAGTTTCGAACTCGCGTCAATGCAAAACTAAAGCATTTTGACATTTTCGCATGCTGCTAAGTAGGTAAACTGCTGCTAAGTAGGTAAAAAATAGGGATAACTCTCCATCGTCTGTCCGTCTCTCCGTCCGTTCGTCGTAAAAAAAATGTCCGGACTACAGAATCAGAGATATGGCCATAAGATGAATTTTATTTGTCCAGACTACTCCTCTTTCACCTGTTACTTTTCCAATTTCAATGAAACTTAACAGGATTATTTGGTAGCTCAAGTCCTTGTGCTAAGTTGCGCATATTACACAGGTTTTCCATTTAAATAATTTTTTGCTGAGTTATGGCCCTTAAAAAAAATGTGTTTGGCCTATTACTGTAATGATTGGAAGGAAATTTTTTCAAAAAAAAATTTCCTTTCTATAGTATCGGTCTGCCTATATTGAAAAAGAACGAACAACACCTAATTGAATTCTGTTTAAGCTCAATAGAAAATAAGTAGTTAATGCGACCAAGAAAGTAGTGCAGCAGAACTATATGTATACTTTCAAACGTGGATGACTTGAAGAAAAAGCTGATGTTCAAAAAAACTTGAAATGATGATATTCAATGTCAGCTTACATCAATGGAACATAATCTTAAACGTGTACGGAAAAAAAACATCAGTATTATTACGCATTAGGCCAAAGAAAAGTTTGTGTCCATGTACCTATGTACAATAAATTGAATATAAATAAGGTGTAATTTTGTAGCAGAGATGCTGAAAAGTTCACATATATAAATCAACCGAAGGAAATGAAAAAGT